TGGGTGACAGTGCTTTTTGTTCCTGAAGTCGACAATGATCTCTTTTGTTTTATCGACATTCAGGATCAGGTTGTTGGTGTTACACCAGTCTGTCAGATGTTTCACCTCCTCCCTGTAGGCCTGTTCGTTGTTGTCCCTGATGAGTCCCACCACTGTCGTATCGTCCGCGTACTTTATGATGTGGTTGGTACTGAACCTGGAGCAGCAGTCGTGGGTCATCAGGGTGAAAAGCAGTGGACTCAGAACGCAGCCCTGCGGGGAGCCGGTGTTTAAGGTGATGGTGCTGGAGGTGTTGTTACCGACAATATGCTCAATATAGGCAGGATATTATTGACATCAGGTGTGCATGGAATGGGATGTTCAATTACATATAAACATCTTCACTATACTTGGTGTAACATGCATGTTTGGTCAAGTTTTTGGCACATTTGTGTTTTATATTTGCATTGTTTTTGAAAACTGTGGACCATTTTTCCTAATGACAATGTTTTGGGCCTTGCACTTGTCGGCCACCGTAGATACTGGATGCAAAGGATGAAAAAATAAGGCAATGAAAGTAGAAACAATTGGAATAAATCTAATAATTAATGTGAAAAAAACAAGTATTTTCCCCCTTATTTGTTCATATGAAGGGACTCTGTATACTTTGAGTTATTTTAAACACATTCAAATATTCCTAATATACCATGTTGTCTCTTGTGTGGGAGGCGATGCTCGAGTGCATGCATCGACTCGGGGGCTAAACTGCATCAGTGGTTGACATTTGTGATGTAAATACTTTGTAAAATGTCATAAATCTTGCATGTGCATCCAAGCGTCTCGTGAAATGCCACACATTAAGAAGATGTGAGAAATAAATGTGGGAAAAAAGGGAAAATACCAACCTTTTGAAAATGTTATGATTGATTGTGTTTACCCATAATGTATTTTAAAATGATGTGCAGAGGGGGTGGGGTGTATGATATTATAAATCTGAGTTCTGGCTAAACTGGAAGAGAAGGAAGCTGTCAGCAGGCTGGGAGAGTAATGGATTACAGTTTAAAAAAGGATATTTGTGAAACTAGCACGATTACAATGCTACTAAAAACTAAAAAGAGTGTTTGTTGTGAAAGGATCAGATGTTATCTCTCTGTAAGCTGTAGGATAATACTGTAAGTGAAAATCTAGACTCCTACTATTTATTTTTTTACACATGGCCTAATTATCTTCTTTAAAAAATGATTAGAATCCTGAATTTTTTTTTCTTTTGATTGTTTTTTTCAGAATTCTCACCTTTTCATGGAAGATATTGACTTATTTTTCAAAATGCAGATTTTTTTCAAAACGTTGTATTCTTTTCTAATTTCTGACTTTTTTCATAATTCTACTTTTTTTTCAAAAATCTAACTTTTGGAAAATTCCTGACTTTTAACATATTTCTAACTTATTTTCTAATTTCTATTTCTTTTTAACAAAATCTCAATTTGTTGAAACTAATTTCTCTAAAATGTCACTTTTTTTCCAAAAAATCACAATGTTTTCCCAAGAATGTCACTTTATTCCAATTCCTGACTCTTTGCATGATTCTTACTTTTTTCTCAAAAATCTCACTTTTGGCCTATTTCTAATTTATTTTCAAAATCATATTTAATTTTTCTCAAAATTCTCAATGTTTCTCAAAAATCTCACTTTTTTTTCAAAACTCACTTTTTATAAAAATTCTGAGTGGATCAGCTGTTCTCTCGTCTCTTACCTCATTCACACCAATGGTGTTTCAGGGCCGGTTCGGAGCTGGAGCTTGAAAAGCACCGGGTTTTCCTGTTCACACCGCAGCGGAGCAGCCTCTTAGCTCCGGAATCCGGTTCGTTTCAAGCACCAAAAAATTGTCCGGCAAGAGAAAAGCACCGCATACGTCACGCTTACGTCGAGGCGGGGGCAGGGGCAGGGGCGGGATCAACTCCTGAACAACAACAAGAAGCCCGCGTTTTATCCAGTTTGTACACAACGATGAAACTTAACAAGCAGCAGTGGTCCACTGAAGAGACCAGCTACCTGCTGGGAATCTGGTCTTCTGAAGAGGTACAGAGGAAGCTGGAGCACAATCGGCCATTGTTGTTGTTGTTGTTGTTGTCGGTGTCAGCTGTGAGGGGTTTCCGCGCGGTTTGGCTTTATGAAGCAGGCACGCAAACGGTTACGCCATGACGCAAACGATGACGCAATGACACAGCACCAGTCGGACTCTGGGCGGTGTGAAAAGAGCCGGAGCTAAACCGAAGAACCGGTTCTGAACCTGAAAAGCTCTAGCAGGAAGCTTGAACCGGAGTTGCGTTGGTGTGAATGAGGTATCTGTGAGCTGTTCTGTTCTGTAGGCTAATACATTAAGAGTGAATGAGATGAGAGTAACAAATGCGTCACTTCCGGGCAAAAATAACGGCTCCGCCCACTTTTGGGGGAAAACAACGCTGTCAGTTGAACGGCGGTCAATACAAATTCTGAAGTTTTTGCCAATCCGATCAGAAATTCAAGAAAACCGGAGATTTTTGGATCTTCAAAGAGCCCGATTACAATGGCCAGACAGGCAAACTATTACATTAAATCATTAGAAAACGACGATCGGGCTGGTTAAATTAAAAGCTGGTTAAATTAAAAGCAGCAGGCGGGGCTGTCATTTCGCCAGCTGTTGTGCGAGGCGGAAAATAATTGTTTTATGATGCCAAAAAGCTGCTGTGTCGTGTATTGCACCTCAAACATAAAATAAACCCGGAGTTACGTTTTTCTGTACTTCCTCTAAGAAAAAGGGACAGTAAAAGAAGAGCTCTGTGGCTTCAGGCTATTCACAGAGAGGACGAAAATCACAATCAATGGGACCCGGCCAGTCAATACGTGCACGTCTGTGGTAAACACTTCATCACAGGTAAATGATGATGCTAACGAGGCTAATATCAATCGTTGAAGTAAATAGATGTAATGTTAAAAGTTTAAGAAGTGGAAGTAGATGCTGTATTGAAATATAAAAAACGGACAAACCAAGGAAATTAGCCTGCTGCCTGTACACACAGGGTGACATTAGAGAACAGCCCATTTGGCTCAGACTGAAGCAAATTTATCAATTCATTTAAAAGTTCAAATTGGTGAATATTGAGCAAAATGGGGGGGGGGGGGGTTATTATCAAAACAGTCATTATGGTAATTATTTTATGATCTACATATTTTATAGGCGCAGTGAACTTAACCAAAAAACTGTCAAGTTTGTCTCTGTATTTGGCCAACACATACCTTCATGGTTTAAGGATACCATGTGAATGACGGCGAGCATCCAGATTATGTTCCATCCATATTCCCACAACGACCATCGTCAGAAGGCTCTAAGAGGCTAAAGCGATACCAAAGGAGAGATGCAGCATGAGGTCCTGCCAGCAAAAAGGCAGCGAATAAAGCCACCTACAGAGGCTTCTCCTTCTGAAACCCCTGAAGATTTTGATACAGCTTATCCTGAAGCCCCTTTCACTGAGGATTCACTTCCTCAGCCCTCTGATGATTATGAACTGAGTGACACGCCAGCATTACATAGGCAGCAGGTTTCCATTGCCATAGAGGTTGCCAATCTCAGGAGAGAAAGAGATGAGGCAAGAAGAGAAAGAGATGAGGCAAGAAGAGAAAGAGATGAGGCAAGAAGAGAACTCCAGAACTGGTCTAAGGAGCGTTTGTCTGTTCATGTTATTAAAGGAAACGACAGTGTATGCAGGGCCATGACTGGGCTCAGCTGGTCAGTTTTTCACTGTCTTCACCGATATTTAGTTCAGTTCATCAAATCATCACCAAAAGGTTTTAGATTGTCTACCCAGGACCAGCTCTTCCTTTGCTTGCTCAAGCTACGCCAAAATCCATCGATTGCTTTGCTGAGCCAAATACTACACAAACCAGAACCCACCGTCCGCCACATATTCCAACGTTGGCTGAATCTTTTGTATGCGAAAATCACTTTCCTCATTCACTGGCCTGACAGGGAGTGCATCACCCAAACCATACCACCAGTGATGAAGGCCAACTTTCCGCGCCTCACATCAATTATAGATTGCTTCGAGATCAGAATTGAACATCCAAAAGCCCTGAAGGTAAAGGTGCCAATATTTATGGGTTAGCCAGGTAGCTTTGACAGTGTTCGTACACAGGTCTGAATAAGTAATACGAATGAGTTTGATAATTTACAGGTCTTGTTTTTTAAATGTATGCTCAGATAGAGGGATGCTCATTGTACCCAGCCGCTGCATGCATCATATCAAATATTAAATGTATTATTGAAAACAAATAAAGGTCCATTAAAGGTTTGAAATCTTAAACTTGAAAATGAGTCCGTGTTTTTGTTTCTTCTTTTCAACAGGGCAAAATCATACTCTAATTATAAGAAGTGGACTACAGTCAAATATTTCATAGTGTGTAGTCCCGCAGGAAACATCACCTTCTTAATAATAATAATATATAATATTTTTATAGCGCCTTTCAGGAAACCCAAGGTCGCTTTACAAGTCGTGTGGGGGGGGGGAGTAGGGGAAAAAGGCAGACAGGTTAAGGGGGTGGGGGGGGGAAGTAGCGGAAAAATAAACCTATTAAACTAACTATACAGTGGCGAAAGCCTTGGTAAAAAGGTGCGTTTTGAGGGCTTTTTTGAAAATGTCCAGGGTTGGGGCGCTGCGGATTCTTGTTCAAAGGTTGGGGAGGAAGAGCATCAGATGTCAAGATAGTTAGGGAATCTGGCTTTATTTCACCCCTCTACCACCATCCTGGGGACCAGGTAATGTTTCATCTTACATAAAGTGCACATATTCTACACTAACAGTTCATCACATGCATTTTCTTGGTAATCATTATGGACAAGTGTTGTTATTTACTGTTTGACTGCAAACATTAAAAGCAAAAGGCCTACATATCGTATGCATTACTTGTTTTAGATCTTGGCTGATCGGGGTTTTACTCGAAAGATGAGTTTGCCTTACTTGGTGCCAGTCTCGAAACCCCAGCCTTCACTCTCGGCAGGAAACAACTCCCAGGCAAAGACGTTGAAGAGTCAAGAATGAAATCAAAATTTCGGATTCATATTGGTAAGTTTACATTCATTATCCACAGACTGGTAAACTATTGCGCATATCAATATGATGGAAAATAAATTAACTCTTTTATTAAATTAAGTTATATAAAAAACAGCACTAACGGACTGTAGCAAATTGTATAACAGTGCAAACAAAGTACTTAACAAACAATTACTGAGAACAATGGTAAAATGTGAAGTTTTATACTTGAAAATATTTTAAAACAACTGATGGGTGAACAGAGCGGGTGATCGGTGTGCTGAAGCGAAGATTCCACATCCTGGATGGGCCGCTCCCTGTTTGCTTCGTAAAGACCCTGCGGGACGAGATGGAGAACAGGGATGTAGCCACCATTGACAAGATAGTACATACCTGTGCCGCCTTGGTCAACATGTCAGGTAGCATTGTGTTCAATAAAAACAGACAGGGAGATGTATAGGTCAAATCAGTCCTGCTGTCTTTTCTCTTTGAGTCACTTAGTTTGGGCCATGGCAGCAAAAGAACAACTCTTCAATGACTATCCTTCAGCTTTTTAAATCTACCTTACTGCTCTGCTCTCCTTCCAGGAATGACAGTTGACACCACGTAATTATTCTGTAAATGTAAATAAACTATGTATTAGGAATTGTCTTAGCTAGTATTAACCTAACAGCCACCTAACAACAAATGCTCGCAAATGTTAATGAACTATAATTATAAATAATTGTTTAGGTTTTGTGTTTTACCTGAAGCTCCTGTTCTGTGTCTGACACAGCACTGTCTGTTGACTCCTGAAATTGTTATACATAATTTGTGATTATTTGTATTGTTTCATAATATTTGTGTGCCATGTATTACATAGTATAAAGATATAACAGACAGTGTATTTGCAGTCTCTAAGGAAAATGTTTTATACCTGAAGCTCCAGCTCTGTATCTGGGATTGTGGTTCCCGCCAGCTGTGGGTAGATGTGCCTGGCCCAAAAACGGCTAATGGTGTCCACTGCCTGACACTGAAAATCTTCATCTTGTTGGACACGGAAGATAACGGTTTGCTTTGGCGTCCAGGTGATGAAGTCTGCATAGGTTGTTTTGCACACAAACATCTGCATCTGCACCTGTAAAAAAAGAGGAAGAAAAAGTACAGCATAGACTCCAACTACTTACCTGCAATTAACAAAACACAGATAATACAATTCCTTATGAGTTGTTATTTATTGTATTACCTGGGTGTAGTAGCTGTGGTTGGTCCTCAGCGACAACAAAGTGTCCAGATGTCCTCTCTTGTCTGCTGGCCAGTGATCAGCTGACAAATCACTATTCCACTTCAAGGAGCACTTTACCTCAACCACCCCCTTTCCACAGCAAACGCAGTGTACATAAGCATCACAGCTTACACCAATGTAGGGCTTCTCTCTGCACACTCGGAAGCCTGCCCGTTGAATACTGATGCTTGTGTGGGGTTTATATATGTCACTGGAGATGTTAATTAAAGTGGGTGCTGTATATGCAGTTGTAAGGCCCAGTGCATACTTGTATGTCTCAATATCATCTTTTTCGTGTTCCCTACCCCAAATGATGCCTGGTGTTTTCAGAGGATTTTTGCGTGACTCTTTCTGCACAATATCCCTCAGCAGTGATTTTGATGGTTTCTCAAGAGATGTGTGGATAACTCTGTGTGCTGATGTACCTGTCACCCTCCCAACCCCCTGCTGGTGCCAAGATGAACATTCTGCCTGGTCTTTTGTCTCTTCCTCTATTGCCTGTACCTGATCATCTGAAAATTCTGACAGATGTTGGTACCAAGGCTTTGGTTTGAAAGGGTCTGCAAAAGCCTTGAAAGTGCTCAGACCAACAGGCAGCTCTCCTGAGGCAGACAGCATTTCCAAGAACTGTTGTTTATTTTCTTCATTCGCCATTGGAATGACCCTGCAGTTTGTTCCTGTGTCCCTTTTGTTGGCTTTGTCTCCATAGAAGTCTATATTGATGACCATGTCTGCCTCAACTTTGTTCGTGCAGACTTTATTCCAGGCACAGGCGATGCTGGTTGGTGCCACAATTGTATATCCAAGGCGAACTGATGCCTCCAACTTAAAAAGCAGGGCTCCGACATGGGAACAGCTTTCTCCTAGTCTAGAGTAAAAAATATATATTTTAAATAAATACTTTTTCACCAAATAACAAAAGCATTTCTTCCCTTCTGAAGGATTACATAGGTGGCATTGTGACTGTACTATTAGTGTTATGCAGTCAGCTTACCCTGCCATGCAATCACAGTGAGCAGCTGTGACCTCTCCAGTCTTGTTAACAGCAACCCAGGTGTTGTGGGGTTTATCTGTAACTCTCCATGATGGCTTTACATGGGTCTTGAAGACTGTTGTGTCAGCACAGGGTTTGTGGTGAAGAACCACATCCACCCAGCCACTGGTAAAAAAGGTATGTGCTTCCAGAGACCTGAAGTTCTTCATTGAACTTGCTGTGTAAATCCCTAGAGGACAAGTTAGCAGACACAAATCTCTAAACCTGCTCTGTCACATCTAAAATCATTAAAAAAAAAACATTAGTAGTACAACCATGGGCAATCCAGAAAGTTAATTAATAAAGACTGAATTTTGTAGCAAAATTAGCTTGTACAAAAATTGTACAAAATAGCTACAACAACACAGTAGCCTACGACAATATTTAACATACATGTTAAAATATTGTCGTAGGCTACTGTGTTGTGGTATATTTACTGAGATTATAAAGATAGGCTATAACATAAAATCGTCAATGATCAACCCTACCTATAACTAGATGCTATCATTAATTAGCTTGGTAAACCCCCTATTTAACACGTTATTGTATAACACATATTTATAGTTTAAACAGTAACGCAAATTGGACAGACTATTAAAACGGATAAATAATGTGACTTGATGACGTCCTATACAAACTACCTGGAGATTCAATGAGGTAGTTATAGATGTCAGGATATGACACCTCAGGCCATTGAGTCGGATCATTCGTCCACCGGCAGACTGAATGGACATTGATCGCCTACTGCTTTTAATTTAATCATATATCGAGCCCGATCGTCGTTTTCCAATGATTTAATGTAATAGTTTGCCTGTCTGGCCATTGTAATCGGGCTCTTTGAAGATCCAAAAATCTCCGGTTTTCTTAATTTTCTGATCGGATTGGCAAAAACTTCAGAATTTGTATTAACCGCCGTTCAACTGACAGCTTTGTTTTCCCCCAAAAGTGGGCGGAGCCGTAATTTTCGCCCGGAAGTGACGTAGTGTTACTCTCATCTTGCCTGAATCTGCTTTATGGGACCTTTGTTATTATTTTGTTTTTCCAATTGGCCCCGAATCATCTTCTTAAAAAAATTATCAGAATCCTGAATTGTCTTCTTTTTTTTTATAAGTTTTTCAAAATTCTCACCTTTTTTATAAAAATATTGACTAATTTTTACAAAATTCCGATTTCTTTCAGAATGTCAAAATGTTTTTTGTTGATTTCTAATTCCTGACTCTTTTTTTTTCTAATTCTACCGTTTTAAGCAAAAATCTAAATTAGTTGAAAAAATCTCACTTTTTCCTCAAAAATCTCACTTTTTTCAAGTCCCCTTTTTAACTGTAGTATGTGCTCATGTGTTTCAGTCTTGGTGTATAAAGGCCAAGGCCATGTCATTTTTGTTCCTAAATTGGTTTCTACATTTCTAAGGTCACATGTATCTGTTGTCCCACTTAATAAACATTCTTTAAAACAATTATTGTTTTAAATGGCAATGCACTTGATATTGAGGTTATCCAAAAGTACCGGAAATGTATCAAGCCTTTAATAATTTTAAAACTTACTGATTATTTATTTTTTAGAGAATACATTTTGAAAGTAACCCTCCCATCCCTGGTGTCAGTGTAACAGGTTTTATTGATAATAATGTTGATTGTTGTTGTTTGTTTCAAACGCCACTTGGGGGCACCACAAGTCACTCCTGTTTATAGGATTACATTTTATCTCATACATTATGAAAAAAATCTATTTAACAATGACATGAACATACTTCATCGACTCAATTTGCTGTTTTATAAACGGGAATTATGTACAGTTATTAGCATTAGCAATTTAAATGACCCTTTATTCACCACATTATTCCCATAGGAAGACAGAAAGAAAGGATGTGAACACTACTTGTAGCTTAAGCCACTTATTATATACAGTGTTTATTTTATATTTCATTGAAAACTGAACTCATTTTCCTCTATGGGCCTTTCTCATTTCTCTAATCCCCCTCCTCGACTCCCCTCCTTGTGTCTTAGTCCCGCCCACAGGAGATGCGAGCGGAGGAGTCGAGGAGGACCCATCAGTGGGTGTTTCTCAATTTCGAGTACGCTTGCTTGGTAGCACATGTCTTCCGAGCATCTTGCTTCAGAAGCGAGGCAAGAATTCTTCCTGGCATTCGGAAAATGAAGAATGGAACAGGTGAGCAAGTGTGCAGGTGTGCGCAGGGCCGGCCCTCGGCAGAGGCATAGGCGAATGCTAAGGGCATCAACCCATCGGGGGCGATTTTGGATCAACAATACATCTTATTATCTTATACTAACAGAACTATGCCTATATTGCGTACAGCGCCCATAAACTATGGCGCACCCCCCCCAAATCAAGTTGAACTGTCCCAGCCCCACTAAAAACCAGAGGTTTATGTGAAATTGTTCTTTTTTTGAAATAATGGTTTTAGTGTGCAATTATTGGTTTTCATTTTGTATTTGTGTTCATTTAAAATAAATCAAACTCCCAAAAAATGCATACAGCTTCTGTGTGCTTTTATTAACATTGGAATTAACATTGGAATTTACATTGTAAGCAGCCGCGGGGGGGAGAGCTTTAGAGAGCTCTCTCCTGAAAGACTGAGAGGCTCTGATAACCTCAGCTCAGTGAGGTAAAGGCACACCTTTATATGATCATTATAGTTGTAAAAAAATAAGAGAATAGATGAAAAACAGGTTTGAAATACTATATGACAGTACAAAAAAGTTGTTATTAATAAACAAGAATACAGTTTAAAAGGGGGGGTGATTTGTAAAATATCCATAAAGAAAAAGAACATCTGATTACAGTTCTGTTTCATATGGGTGTTGAGAGATGTATCCATAGAGCTCTTAAAGGAATGAAAATGAGTCAGCTTTGACTAATGCCAGAGCATACTGTGTCATGTGTGCATTGGCGTTGTGCTCTGTATGAAGGTTATCGAGGCGGAAAAGGCAAAATGGAGCCAATATTTTAATAAGTATGCAGCAGCGGTGGCTCCTCTGCACTGAGAGCCACTTCAAATCAAATCAAATCAAGTTTTATTTGTAGAGCACATTTAAAAACGATTTTGGTCGAGCCAAAGTGCTGTACATGTAATTTAAACACATAAAAACACATTACATCACAATAAATCACAACAGATAAAAACAACACATGGAACAGTCAGGAGTCGTAACCCCACTCTAACTAGAAGGCCACTTGATGCAAGGTCAGAAACAGGACTCAGAAACTGAAGCAATTCAGACTTTCAAAATGTCAATATGTCAAGGGCTCCTTCATGCTGCTTCTGTTGAGAGGTGTAGGCCTTAGGATTCACACTGAGGTCACAAACCCACTATGTAACATTTTCTATAGGGCCAAGTGTCCTCAAATAGATATAAAATGTCCAATTCTTTAAGATTTTATTTCACTTTCACCTGCAATATGAATTCAGTTATATAAAAAAGCAGCTTCTTTGAATTATCAACTGACATTGAATTGCAGTTATCGCACGGCATAGTTGAATACTCGATTCTGATTGGTCAATTTGGACATTCTACAGGTTGTTAATTCTCACTAACAGACCGTTGCTAAGGAGAACAGACCGTCGCTAAGGAAGATGAAGGGACTATGCAGTCATATCAATCCGCGGAAAGAAGTCCGGGTGATTTAACGACAGCTTTGGACAACAACAATTAGTTTTTCTCTATCATTAAACACCAGGAAATACTTTTTGAATATTATTTTCCTATATTTATTTTTTTAGCGTAAAGAAGTACGATCATTTTTAAAAAAATCAACAACATTTTACATACAATTTGAGAACCATTCCAAAGTGTTAATTCACTTTCAGAAAATATTAAGGGAGATTTAAGGGTGTTTTCTCTCCACTGAAGAACACATGCTTGTGTCCACATCCTTGTTTTCACAAATGAAGCCACTCTTTGAGCAGTTTGAGTCACAGACTGTTTTTATAGCTCTGACGTTACGGGAGGAGGATGAGAAGATCCGGTGATACAGGAAGGGAGAATAACTCACTCTTAATTTGAAGCTGTGTATTTTCAGCGGCAGATCTATGCTAAGTGACACATTGTTCCATGGTCCGTCACAAACTATCATTTCATGTGAGATGAGGCTGGCACGAGTCATAAATCTTTATGAATATGCCATGTAGCTGCAGGGTTCACAGTCATGCCTGATGAACGTGTTAATCATCAGGTTATTAAGAGAGCAACTTTAATCCCAGGCTCAAGGGACGTTTAAAAGAATCCTGCCTCGCTGCCGCCTCTTATTTATCCCGGTATTCTCAGAATTAAAGAGGTCACATTCTGCTCATTTCCAGGTGTATATCAGTATGTAGTGTCTCTACTTTAAAGAGTCCTCTCCTGCTGATGTTCAGGTGTATATCAGTATGTAGTGTCTCTACTTTAAAGAGTCCTCTCCTGCTGATGTTCAGGTGTATATCAGTATGTAGTGTCTCTACTTTAAAGAGTCCTCTCCTGCTGATGTTCAGGTGGTATATCAGTATGTAGTGTCTCTACTTTAAAGAGTCCTCTCCTGCTGATGTTCAGGTGTATATCAGTATGTAGTGTCTCTACTTTAAAGAGTCCTCTCCTGCTGATGTTCAGGTGTATATCAGTATGTAGTGTCTCTACTTTAAAGAGTCCTCTCCTGCTGATGTTCAGGTGTATATCAGTATGTAGTGTCTCTACTTTAAAGA